CCTCAACCTTTCCCCCTGCCCTGGAAGGTCACCTCCCCGCTAACCCTGCCTCCAGCAAGGACAGACAGGGGCTTCCTTGGGGAGAGAACAAGATGCATCAGCCCTTGGCAGCCCGACCAGGCCCTGGAAGAGCCACCCTGGGGTAGGAGGGGCAACGCGGCTTCTAAGAGGTCTGATAAGACACAGAGCCCCCCCCCCCAACTCCCTGCATCCTCTTCAAATGAGCTGAAAAAATGCGAGGAGGGGGGCAAGAAGAGGAGAAGCCTCACTAGACTAGAAGCTGCAGAGGGGAGGAACCAGATTCTTTCCCCCACCACTGCATCCCCAGGCCTAGTCAACTAACCCGCACGTAGTAGGAGCACAACCAATGCAGAATAAGCAATGTAAAGCCATGGGGCAGGCCACCCCAGGCTGCCTTCTTGTGCCATAGGAAGCCCACCAGTCTTAAAGACAGAGGCTGAGGGCCTGGTGTTGAGCAATGCTGTGGTCTGAGGCCAGTCTCCTAACCCATCTGGGTGCAAACGAGGCCTCCGAACAACGGCAACCTTACAGCCCGCCCCCAGGCTGGCCAGAAGACAAGAAGACCGTCTATGAGAGTATGGGACCTTGTGTTCATCAGGCCAGGCCATCACTTCCCACGAACACCCCACAGGCGCCAGAGTTCCCATTTCCGAGGTTTAGGGAAGAGCTCATCATCTGTTACTCCTCATGAGTAAGTGAAGCCCCACAAGCAGCTGAAACCGCTGTGTACTTCCCCTCCCTCATGAATGAATCTGTATTATCTTTATGACCAAGCACCTTTGCCTGGAAATGGGATTCTGACTTCATAGAAATTCTGCAAAGGAAGAGATTAGAAGGCAGGAGTCTCCTAAATCCCATAGCCAGGAAGACAGCGGGTGGGGCAGAGGGGCCAGACCTGGATGGGCTCTTCCCCCCCAACCCCCACCCCCCAGAGTCCCCAGCAGGCAGGGAGGGTGGGAGGGACACACCGCCCTGGGACTGCTCTGCTCTGGGCATCTCTCTTGCCTGGAAGAGGGTCTCCTGGGTTGCGCCCTGTACTGGCCCAGTGCCTCCTTTCCCACTTTTCCAGCAAAATTTGAGTCCTCACTCTGTCTTCAGAATAGCAGGTTTATTAATCCCCACCAAAGGTACATGGGGCTTCCACCCCCTCTATCCCATCTACAGATGCTCCCGAGTCCTGCAGGAAGAAACCAAACGCCACTCTAGAAATAAGCAGTCAGTGGCATCTGAAAAGGATGGAAAACAGGAGTTAAAACAATCTCTTAAAGATTTATTCAGGGGCGCCTGGGTGGCTCAGTCGGTGAAGCATCCGACTCTAGGTTTTGGCTCAGGTCACGCCCTCGTGGGTCATATGATGGAGCCCTGCATCCGGCTCTGTGCTCAGTGGGGAGTCTGCTTGAGATTCTCTCTCCCTCTGCCCGTCCCCCCCAAAATAATAAGTAAATAAATCTTAAAAAAAAAAAAAAGATTCATCGAGCACTTTCTTTCTTTCTTTTTTTTTTTTTCCATCGAGCACTTCCTATGTACCAGGTTTGAAAAAACCGAACACCGTCTGTTTCCTCAAGGTTCTCACTGGACAAGTAATCAGGGCATGTTGGTCAGCGTGGAGAGAACTCTCCTGGAAGTTTAGACTGAGTCTCTGCCAAGTCTTAAAGGAAAAGTAGAAACCAGCCAAAGTGTGGAAGGCAGTTCCACCTGGAAGGAAATGAACACGCAAAGACCCAGGCCTGAGGAACGTTCTGGAGACAGCCTGGGGCTCCATGAGGTCAGTAGGGGTGGTGGCCACTGATGGTGGCCTTAGAGAAGTTTGAATCATCCCAAAGGCATTGGAAACCTGGAGTTATTAGAAAGACAAAGGGAAACTTGGTAGTTGGCTGATCTGTTTGAAGTCAAGCCTCTTCATGGAATGTATCTTATATGGGAGATAACAGGGCTCTCCAAAACAGAAAGCCATTCCTGGCCACACCCATCCCCTAGCAGCCCAGGCTGCAGCCACACCTCCTCTCTCCAGACCCCCCAGTGCTTCAAAAAAAAAAAAAAAATGTAGCCGACATGTGCACTGAGCATTTAATATGTTCAAGGTACCATCCTAAGCATTTGCACGCATTAGCTCATTTAGTCCTTACAACAACCAGATGAGGTAGGTACTATTATCAGCCCATTTTACAAATCAGGAAACCGAGGCATGGCTGGGGCAGTAAGTTGCCAGAAGTCACACAGCTACTGGCTGGTGGAGCCTAGACAGAAGTTCAGTCTCCAGAGTCAGTATGCAAGGAGGGCAGCCCCCCCTCCCCGCAAGCCCCAGGCCCGACAGCCCCTTTCAGCACCCCCCTCCCCCAGACCAGCTCATACTGCCCCTCCTCTCTGCCCTTCCAGTCAGTCCTGAACTCTAGGGCACGCTCCCAGCTTGCTGGCAGACATGCAGACATGCAGACATGCAGCTTTTGCTGCGGGTCCTCTGCAGAGCCCAGGCTCATTTGGGGACCATGCTCTTGCTTCAGAAGTATGAGTTCCTCCAACTAGTCTGGAATTCCCAGAGTTCCAGGGCTGTTTCCTCCTCCTTATCTTCTCCCCCTTCAACACCACCCCCATAAATGAACTCTCAAAGTGTCCCAGGCTCATCATCACAATCACCCCTTCCTCCTGGCATCCTCACTTGGGGGGCCCATGTCTCTCGCCTCGCCTGTCTCCCTGCAGGATTCATCCAGCACTTTTGTCTCCCAGCACTTTGCTCCGTGCCTGGCAAAAGCAGGCACTCAATGAAGGTTTGTGGACTGGATGAATGAACCTGACTTGTGTCAGAGCATTATAATTTACAAAGCACTTTCTCATCCATTAACTCGAGGGCTATTCCTTGTGAGTCTTCTTGTCCTCCACGGATTCAGCACAGAAGTGTATGGTCATGGTGCAGTCTCCTGTTGTCCTTTTCCTGGGTGAGAGAAAGAATGAACTCCTGACTCGGGAGAGGAGGATCCACTTCATTAGCCCACAAGCATCTTGAGGCCAAAGACCTGGTTTTATTCATCATTATATTTCAACACCTAGCATAATGCCTGGTACACAGAGCCCAATAGTTGAGAAATGTGTTGAATAAATCCATTTCCCCCTCTGGGGAAGTAGCTAGAAATAACAAGAAGAATTCCTCCTTGCTACTGTTTCCTAATAGAAGCTGAGGAAGAACGAGACAGAATCCCTCCATTTCTAGCACACTTTGATGTGCAGAATCTCTTCTTGTTTTGTGATCTCAGCTCTCTGATGGGAAGAGGTTACTGTTATTATTTTACACATGGCAAACTGAATCCCAGAGAGGCTGGGTGTCCTGCCCAAATCTCACGTGGTCCTGACATGCGTGAGAGAAGAGGTGATGGCACAGATTGAAAATACAGTGGCAAAGGCAGTCAGGTGCCTCTCCCCTCCCAGATAAGGGAAGGAGCCAGGCCTCTGTGTGCTAGACTCCCAAGATGCCTGTTGTCATGTCAGCCTCTCTCCCTTCCTTTCCAACTCATTATCTTCAGCAGGGTGGCATCTAGGAAGAGGGCACAGCCCAAAGCCCACAGCCCCTGTGTCCCGAGAGGTGACGATTCAAGTGGAATTTAAACTAGTCCTCAGGTGTCTGCAGCACCCCACTGCCTGTTTAGGGACAGACTGCAAAAGTTGCCAACCTTCAGAAAGCAGGCGCTGGTTAGCCCAAGCCACCCACATCCATGCTGGCGTGACCAAGAGCAAATCCATCATTCACCACACACGCCTCCTCACACCTGGGGCGGGGGAAGATCAGACCCCCCACACTCAGAGGTAAGGGAGGCGGGGCACATTCTTGGCGGTGCTGGGCCATCTGGAAGTGGGCTGAACTTCTGAAAACTGTGTTCTGGAAATCCTCCGCTGCTGGACTCTTAGTCCCAGGTCGAATTCCAACTGCGATGAGAATTCTCCTGTGTCCCCCGGGAAGGTCCCCCGCCCCAGCTCCTGAGCCAGCCTCCCCACTGCCCCCTCCAGTTTCCATTCCCCGGCTTGGGAGGTGCGGCTCCGAACCCCACTCCCGCTTACGAGACCCCAGGGCGCCCTCTAGCGGACGCGAGGCGCGGGGTGGGGCCATTGCTTGCCCTCGGGCCAGTCCTGCCCGGTGAGAGCACCTGGCCGGACCCACAGCGCACCCCGAAAGTTGGGAGACCCAGATGTGTGAAAGCGGTTCTTGTTTGTCTGTCTCTGGCTTTCTGGTGGCGGGAGGCGGCACTCATGTCCGCGTCGGCAAAGAACCTGGCAGTGGGCCGGGGGGCTGAGGCCGGACAGCTGCCACACAGGCTGCGTCCCCTCCATCCCAGGGACTCCCCGGCTTCGCCTCGGGGACGTGACCCCAGGTCCGCCCCCCCCACTTCAACTCCCAGGTCCGGCCCCAGTGTCGCCGCCTGGGGCTTTGGAGTGTCCCCACTTCCCTCGCGGCAGGCCCGGGCCTCCTGGGGCCGCGATCGGGACCTCGGACGGGCCCGGGTAGGGGCGAGGGGGTGTCCCCGCGAGGTCTGAGAAAAAGCGAAGGGGAGCCGGGAGCCTCTCCCGCTCAGCCTCCTGGAACTGCCCGCGCGCTCCCGGAGCGGGGCCCCCGCCTCTGCCAGAAACCGGCCTTCTTAGAAGGGAGGGGGAAAGTGTGAATGAGAAGTTGGGGGCGGAGCGCGCGGGGGGGAGGGGCCGCTGCCAGGAACGCGCCGCCGGGGCTGGCGCCGCGCCCGCCGGCCGCCGGGGCCGCCTCGCGCCGCGCTTTGTCTGTGCGCGCGTCTCGGCCGGTCCTGGCCCGGCTCGCGGCCCGCCCTCGGCCGCCCGCGGCCCCTCCTTCGCCCTCCGCGCAGCCTTTCATTGCTGCGAGTAGTGACTAAACATTACAAGAAGGCCGGCCGCGCAGTTCCAGGAATCGGGGGGGCGGGGCGCGGCGGCCGCGTATATACCCGCTAGCGCGGCCTCGGCGGCGGCTCCGACTCTCACTCCCGCGCCGCCGCCGCCAGCGCCGCCGCTCCAGCCCAGCTCCCGCCGCGGCCCCTCGCCTCGTCCCCGCCGGCCGGCCCGGGGACGCGCAGGGGGCAGGGCGGGCGCCCCAGCGAAGCCCGAGGGACGCGCGCGCGAGGCCCTTTGTGGACTTCACGGCCGCCAACATCTGGGCGCAGCGCGGGCCACCGCTGGCCGCCGCGCCGCCGCCTCGCCTTGGGGACCGTAGGAGGCGCAGCCCCAAGGCCGGAGACTTCGTTTTGGGACCAGGTAGGAAGGAGGGGCGCGGCGTGGAGCGGGGCGGGAGCGGGGGTTGGGGGGGGCTAGCTAGTCCCGGGAGCTTTTCCCGGTTTCCCCTCCCCTTCCCGGGTCATTCCCGGCAGGGAGGGGACGAGGTAGGGGCCAGAGCGGATGGAAGCCGGAGATCCCAGGTTCCCGGAAGACCCAGGCTGGGCCCTCGGGCTTCTCATGTCCCCTCCCCACCTCACCCCACCCCCCATGCCTCAGATTTCTCTCTCCGTCCCAGCCGCCCGGGGCCACCGGACTGAGCGGCGCCCAGAGCGTCCCGGGGGCCCTTCTCCCGCTCCCCACCACGGCCACGCTCCCGGAGACCCAACTTCCGCGCCCGAGTTTCCCACTCGGCGTTCTCCCATTGCGCGCTGGAGAGGGGGCTGCCTGGGGCCACCCGGCCGGCGGGGGCGGGGGCTGGGCGGGCTCCGCCGGGTGCCTGGGTGGGAAGAAGGGCTCAGGCGGGGGGCCTCCGGGCAGGGGGGCTGCCCAGGCCGCTCGGCGGAGGCTGGGGAGCCGGCACGGGCCGGGCGCGCTGGAGGGTTCCGGGCACTCACGCGGCGCGCCCCTTCCTCCCCACAGCCCCCGGGGATGCGGTAGCGGCCGCTGTGCGGAGGCCGCCGAGCAGCTGCAGCCGCCGCCGCGCAGATCCACGCTGGCTCCGTGCGCCATGGTCACCCACAGCAAGTTTCCCGCCGCCGGGATGAGCCGCCCCCTGGACACCAGCCTGCGCCTCAAGACCTTCAGCTCCAAGAGCGAGTACCAGCTGGTGGTGAACGCAGTGCGCAAGCTGCAGGAGAGCGGCTTCTACTGGAGCGCCGTGACGGGCGGCGAGGCGAACCTGCTGCTCAGCGCCGAGCCCGCCGGCACCTTCCTCATCCGCGACAGCTCGGACCAGCGCCACTTCTTCACGCTCAGCGTCAAGACCCAATCGGGGACCAAGAACCTGCGCATCCAGTGCGAGGGGGGCAGCTTCTCGCTGCAGAGCGACCCCCGGAGCACGCAGCCGGTGCCCCGCTTCGACTGCGTGCTCAAGCTGGTGCATCACTACATGCCGCCCCCCGGCGCCCCCTCCTTCCCCTCTCCACCGACCGAACCCTCCTCCGAGGTGCCAGAGCAGCCGCCATCCCAGCCGCTCCCAGGGAATCCCCCCAGGAGAGCCTATTACATCTACTCGGGGGGCGAGAAGATCCCTCTGGTATTGAGCCGGCCCCTCTCCTCCAACGTGGCCACTCTCCAACATCTCTGTCGGAAGACCGTCAATGGCCACCTGGACTCCTATGAGAAAGTCACCCAGCTGCCTGGGCCCATTCGGGAATTCCTGGACCAGTACGATGCCCCGCTTTAAAGAGCAAAGGACAGGGGTCGGGACGAGGAGCCTGGGTCCCCTCTCCTCCGTGGCACATGGCACAAGCACAAGAATCCAACCGGGAGAGTCCTGCAGCTCTGGGTGAGCCAGGGGGGTGGACTGGCCCCTCCCTTCAGCCCTCCCCCCCCTGCAGAATGGGGCAGGCGGGACCTGGAATGTGTTTGAGGGAAGGGGGAGTGCCACCTGAGCGCCCCGCCCCCACTCCAGCTTCTCCGGAGGAGCCAGCTGGCCTGGTGGGGACAGCGACGACAGCAGTGGATTCTCTTCTCACCTCTTCTTCGCTTCCTCGACTCCCCTGCATTTCCAAACAGGGGACACTGCGGGAGTGTTGAACTAGTGAGAACTGCCGGGGAGTCTTCAAACTTTCCAACGGAACTTGTTTGCTCTTTGATTTGGTTTAAAAGGTAGCTTTAAACCCGAGCAGGTCTCTGGCCTGGAAGAGGGTGCAGGAGAGGGTGCCCCAGGGGCCTCAGGGCTACAGGCTGGCCACGGCGATGGCCACTCCCACTGTCCACCCCAGGTGAGCAGGCGGCTGCGTGCTCCTCCCCTGGCTCTGGGGGATGAGTGCAAGGGGTGACCGGAAGGGGGCTATTCTGTTACCCTCTCTAGGACAGCCACCAGAAACACAGGTCCCAGAGTCCATCTAGTTCCCCGGGAGCCCAGGGCCCTTCCCCCGTTTTAAGGGGGAAGTGGCATTTGGAGGGGAAGGGGTGGGCTGGTCAATTACTCTTTTCCCCACCCCTGCTCTCCCTTCTGACACCTGGGGGCTGGGAGGAGGGTGGAGGAGATGAGTCATCTTTGACCCCAGGTCCCCGGACAGAGAAGATGAGGGATTCTACTTTGTGCGTCCTGCCTGGCTAGGAGATTTGCCTTAAATGCTCCCTGTCCCATGGATAGGGACTGGCACACAAGAAGCCACACGCTCAGCCAATCCAGGCAGAGGCCAGGGGAGCCTCGGAGGGCCGGCTGCTGGCCCCTCGGCGTGGGGGGGAGGGGCGGGCGGAGGTGGAGGCGGGTGGAGGTCCAGGCCTTCCAGCCAAGCCCTGGAAGAAGGCGAGCCCATTCGGTATTGGCCAGTCACAGGTGCCTCCCGGTGCCGGGGCTCTGGCAGAGCAGAGCCACCAGGTCCCACAGCCCTCCTCACCTGGGGGGTGGGGGGTGGGGGAAGGGCACAGGCAGGAAGTCATTGAGAGACTGGGGCCCCTGCCAGCCCAGCTGCTCCCTTCTGCAATAGCACTGATCAGTGAAAAGTTAACAGGAATGTAGCAGCGACGGAATTACCTGGAATTGTTCTTTTTGGGGAAAACGAAACAAACACAAAGTTTTCTGTGTCAGGTTATTGGGCTGGATGGGGCAGCTGTGTGTTGGGGTGTTTGGTTTTTTTTTCCTGTTGTTTTGTTTTTGTTTTGTTTTGTTTTAATAATGTTTACAATCTGCCTCAATCACTCTTTTATAAAGATTCCACCTCCAGTCCTCTCCTCCCCCCCACCCAGGCCTTTGAGGCTGTTAGGAGATGCTTGAAGAACTCAACAAAATACCAATCCAAGTCAAACTTTGCACATATTTATATTTATATTCAAAAAAGAAACATTTCAGTAATTTATAATAAAGAGCACTATTTTTTAATGAAAACCGACTGGAGCCTTTTCCTCCCCGCCCCTTCCCTGCCTTGCTTTCTCTTTCACCCGCACCCACGCTGCGTCTGAGGGGAGGGAGGGAGCCGCGGAGGTGCAGGCTCTGCCCCCTCTTGTGTCAGGGGCGCTCCTCGCCATGGAACTGAGCTCGTCTTCACCACGTCACTGACAAGCTAAGGCAGCCACCTAGACTTTACCGAGAGGGGTAATTCCTGCTAGTCTGATTCAGATCTGACCAGAATATGCAAAGCAAGTTCGAAGGAAGCGCTTCAAAGGGTTTGCAGGGAGTAACCTGAGCTGTGGTCAAAGCTTTTAGAGATTCCAGGTTATTAGAGGCGCTCTGCTCTTTGGCAAGGAGGTGTTCCGAGAAAGCCCAGACTCCGGGGTCCTGGCAGTGACCTGTGACCTCAGCACAGCCAGGTTCATGGGAGGTGGGGGGAGGGGTGGTCCCCACAGGCACTGCCTCCCCCCACCTCCAGCTTCCCTCCATTCCTGGGAGACCCAGCCTGAGCAGTGGCCGACCACATGCCTCCCAATGGCAGCACCCATCTATTTGCCTATTTCTTAGTCACTCCCACCCCCTGGGCACTTAGAGGCTATCCCGTTAACCTACCCAGCCCCACAAGGCGGGTGTTACCACTGCCATATTCTTAGACATAACTGAGCTCCATGGAAGCTGTGGGCTTACACTGGTCACTTCTGATGCCTAGAACAGTGCTCAGTAAACACTTGTCAACTGAGTGGGGGCAGCCACTCAGGTTCATGGAGGTTAAGCAACCTGCCCAAGGACACACCACTTGGGAATGTGGGAAAAGACACAGAATTGGAACCTGGGAGCATCTGGTTTCCAAAGCCCATGAACTCTCTCTGCCTCCCTAAGCACTAAGTATGTGGCCAGGGCTGCCCCTCTGCCCCTCTGTATATCCCCCTGCAAAGCCAACAGGTGAGTTCCCCCACTCCTGGGTTTCAGTATTAGGGTTGTGCTAAAAAACAAAAAATCCTTTCTCTGTGACATTTTCCTTCCATGCTTCTTCCCCCCCAAACCCCAGACCTGACCACTGAAGAAATGAGTGTAATCCCCAAGTCAGGGGTCCCCATGCCTTCCCCCAAACCTCAGATGCCTGAAACAAATACCAGAGGCCTCTTCCCACGCCCCCCTCTCCCTGGGGCGGCGGGGGGGGGGGGGGGAGACGGAGAATAAGCTGCTCCAGGAATCAGCATCCAAAAGGCAACTGAGAGGGGTGCCTCGGTGGCTCAGATGGTCGGACCCCTGCCTTCGGCTCGGGTCATGATCTCTGGGTCCTGGGATCGAGCCCCGTGTCGGGCTCCCTGCTCGGCGGGGAGTCTGCTTCTCCCTCTTCCTCTGCCTCTCCCCACTGCTCCTGCTCTCTCTCTCTCTCTCTGTATCTCTGTCTCAAATGAATAAAAAGAAAAATCCTTTAAAAAAAAAAAGGCAACTGAGAGTAAATAAAGTCATTTCTCTTTCCCATTTCCTAGACTTTTGGGGGAAATAATGTAAAGAGACAAGAAAGGGCCAGGCTAGGCATGAGACTACTGAGTGGACAGAGCATGTAGGAACCACTCCAGAAAGACCACCGCTTCTGGAACTGGGACTGCAGACCCAAGTAAGCTCACCTTCCCAGAGCACCAGGTCAAGTGAGGGGACCCAGTGGGGCCTGGGAAGCTCCTGGCAGGCTCTTCCCTGCTGAGGGGGCTGCGGGGGGCTGCCAGCCGGCCACCATCTGCCTTCAGCAGAAAGCTGCACAGCTGCTGGAAGGACAGCCTCTGTGGAACCTTGGAACCTAGAGCACACTAAGTCCCCGTCCTTGGCCCGGAAGGCGGCCGTTGAGCCGGGGTGTCCAGTGTTCACAGGGCGCTAACTAAAAGTGCTTGATCTTCTCTGGCCCCGGAGAGAGCTGCTTTCCCGGTCCCCCTGGAGGTTAAACTCAGAGGCAGGAAGACCCCTGACTCCTTTCCCCTGATGCCCCCCTCCCATCCTTCTCCCCACACTTTTGTCTCTCCATTTTCAGACCACAAGACCAACCTTCTACTTTTGCAGACAAGGAGGCTGAGTCCCAGAGAAGAAAAGCAATTTGCTTAAATTCACACAGCAAGCTAGTGGCAACACCAAGATCCATCTGCTCCCCAGGGCTCCTTCCTGTGTTCCCTCCTCCTCCTACCCTCCTGTTGCAGAAATCTTTTTGTACTTCTCAGTCCTCTTCGGGACGGAATCCACCCCCTCCCAAGGACTTAAGGGGGGCTGCCAGAGAAGGAGTGTGCCTGGTTCCCAGATTTGCTAAGAAGCTTGAGCAGGCACCCACGCCTCTCAGTGGGGTTAAGAAGAGCATGGCTGGGGGTCCCTGGCCAACCCCCAGAAAGGGGAGAGTTTGCTGCTTCCCGGCCCTGTGCCCTATTAGGCTGCTTCTGGCTGTAAGAATCCACCCCCAAGAGGCCCTCTCCTCTCTCCGGTGGTGCTGTTTTTGGGCAGGCCTCCGGATGAGCTAGAGCCAGGAATGGGAAATCTAAGGCCTGCTCTGGGGGGAGGGAGGGAAGGAGGCCACAGACAGGGGAGCTGAAGATGAAAATAAGGCTTCATGTTGGGTCCTAGTTTAAGGAAGGAGGTTCGGGAGGGGGTACCGCCAGTGTACCAGGCTGAGAGACGGGGAGAGTCACAGAGGGAGTCTGAGCAGGGACAGAAGTCCGCGGGGGTGGGGGACAACGTGCACAGGGGCGGATCCGGGAAACCCAAGCCGAGGGTGGGAAGAGCCGGGCCCGGGACGCACCTTCCCGCGCCGCGTCCCGCCGCCTCCCGTGCGGGCTGCCGTCGGGCGGGCGGGCGGGCGGGCGCGTTGCTCCCAGGCCGGCCTCTGCCAGGAAGAGTCACTTCCCGGACGCCGCGGGAGCCCTGGCGGAGCTATGCGAAGAATGTCCGCGCGGAGCCCGGCGGGTGGCACCTCCCGGACCCGCGCCGCCGCAGCAGCCGCCGCCCCGCCAAGCGCAGCGTGCGCGCGGAGAGCAGGCCACGCCCCCGCCACGCCCCCGCCCCGCGGAGCGCGGTCGCCGTGACAACGGGATTACAGGCTCGGAGCGCTGTTTATTCTCAGCCGAGTGCCAGGAAATTCGACGGGGTGGCTGCCAGGCGCACCTCCCTGGGGTGGGGGCCGGGAGGGGGAGGAGAGAGGGTGGACCAGCACGCCCGGGGCTCCTGGGGGAGGGAGGCGGTCCTCCGTCACCGTCACCAGGGGTCACTGACCCCTCCGAGGGGAGCTGCTCAGAAAGCACTGACTCTTTCCCGGCCAGGAGTGAATCAAGTTTTCTTCTCCCAGGGTAGCCAAATCTCCCTCCAGGCTGGCGAGTACCCCCCCCCCCCCGCCCCCCAACGCACACTCTGTCCAGGGATCCCCGTCCTTGGAGCCCCAGAGCCCCCCGCCCCACAATCCCTCATTCGCTCACTCAGCAAATGGCTATTGAACACATCCTATGTGTCAGGGAATTGAATGTGGGACAAGACAAGGCCCTGATTGTCCTGCTCTCCTGAGATTTATCGGGAGTGACAATGAATTAGTAAATATATAAATACAATGATTACAGATTGCTATTAGTACCCCAAAGATGCATCTTCAAGTCACATTTCCAGTATGGCCCACATCCACGATCCTGTCCCACACCCTCAGGTAGGGTGACCAGCTTGTCCTGGTTTGCCCAGCACTGTCCCAATTCAGCCCTGAGAGTCCAGCAAACCAGGCTAGTTGATCACCCTACCCGCAGGTCAGAATGCACCCATTTCAGAGATGGAGAAACCGAGGCCCAAAATACCAGGGCAGTTCTTCCAAGGTCATGGGGCCAGTTAGAAAGAGAGCAGGAGCTGGGCTCCTTCAGCTAAACACCCTTCACACACACCCTCCTCAGGCCCCCCAAAGCACTGAAGCACCAGTGGCCAGTCCCCCAGGGACCGTATGAAATTGCTGTCTCCCAGACTCCAAGCCCAGCTCC